AGCAAGGAAGTTGTTAAATTCCAACAAATTGAGTTGCAGTGTCTAACGGACACGCGAGTCTCGTTAAGGCAATAATCGATTGGAACTAAATGTTCTCAATCTTAATGGGGGAGGGTGTAACGGGATTACACGTACCCTGGTACCAGGGGTGTGTGTCTTACAAGATGTGCATGGTGTGACTGCACCCAAACAAGAATACGGTATGTGGCTAGGTAGCCAGAAGTTCTGCATGTATTTAGATCTTACTAGATATATTTAGTATATTTAGGAATATCCAAACTTTTGAAATCAGGATAAAAAATAATCGAAGATCAGTTTTGGATTTTAAACCAATGAGTCAATTAGCGTTGGGAAGCAATAATTACTAGTAAGCGGATTGCGATCCGCTAACTCGTACTTGTTCTAAGTATAGAACAAAGGTTGGTGACCTAAATCATGCTTCCTCAAGCGCTAATCTACGGCAGCCCCGCTGCACGCAGGGGAGGAATTGCTAGATAAAGTTGTACTTGCTTCGCAACAATCTTACCTGAAGTCGATAGGAGTGATACATGCCTGGCCTTTAGATTCTTGTTCTTGCTTATAATTTGCCCTACAATCAAATTCTTAGCATTATACCCTCCCTACCTCTGTACTTCTGGTACATGGAATATGATTCCAAGTATTCCATAAAAAGTGCGCGAAAGATTAGCATTACGGTTGACGATAAGCATTTTTTATCGTTACAAGATTTTAGGGTAACAGGCAAACCGTCACATGGCTCTGATTACAAGGACTCACACAAGGTCACCTGTGGTCTTCACAACGGCTTCGCTTGACGTTGGGCAAGGATATGTACTCTCTGCTTAGTGTGAATGAGCGAAAGCAATGCAGGTGTCGGAGCAATATATCACTCGTGCACCTGCCTCGTCAGCACACCATTATGTTATGGCAAATGAGAACCGGACAAGTCCGACGTTGACTACGTACAAAGTCATTTTATCTTAGGCTCTACCGCGCAATGCACTAAGAACACGAATGCAACTTATGGATTGTGCTCTGAGAAGATTTAATGCAGTAAAGCACCAAGTGATGTGGCTCAAAGTCTTCAGCAGCGAAACATGTTGTGGAGTTTGCTCTGACTGAATAAAGAGATTTCCACGTGCTCAGTTGCAGTGACAAATTGGGATCTGGAAAAACACTTTGAAAACACAGACCTAGAACACACGACCCAGTTAGTAAGAGCAATTCTAATTTCTCGACATGCAAGTCAAAGCGTAAAGGATACTACCAAAGCATGATGTCAAAGTTTGACGCTTTGATGGACCGTAACAAGAGTATTGCGACCGCTGTTTCGAGACTGCAGATCACTTGATTAAAGATATAACAGTCACATTCTTTTAAAATTTTGTCCGATTTAGTACTGTTTTCACCATATACACATCATTTACCAAATGGTGCTAGGTTAATCTCAGCTTGATGCGTATATCGGTCTAGTCTTCTTTACGTTCGAAAAGGCAATCTCAATGCATACGACTTGACGCGACTCTCATACGGAAGAAAAGTAAGCTCTAACTGACAGCATACAGCCAGGATAGGATGGACTGTGGCCAAAACGCGACTGACGAGTACGTTTTGAGGAATGTCTCCAAGACTTCCAATCGCTACAAGACTAGTTTTCTGGCAAATGATGAGAAAAGATACCTTCAAGTTGGAGATACCTTGTCGCTAAAAGCTGACTTCTTTACTTATTTGTTAGCTTAAGGAAATGCTAGTGATTGGCTCTTCTTCCATTAACCATTATATCATTGGCCGAAACAGAAACATCTTGGTTTGACTAAGCTCCTTAGAAACCTCACTTCCCGAGTCAGAAGCCCCCTCACAACTAGTGTTCGGCGTCGTCGGTCTTTAGTTTGCCCGTGCTCTCCTACAGCCTGCATCACCCTCTCCATCCCATCATTCGAAAATCTTCTGCTTGATTCTTTCAAAAATTCTGTGTCGTTTGCTTGCGGGCGTCTTCCCTCTTTCCACTGTGTAATCCAACAAGGCGTTCTACTCTGTCCGTGACTGCCGCCACCACGCTCGCAGACCGCAAAAGAAAACGAGGCGACGGAGGGATGTCCCATGAAGGATACTTTACCTCCTCGCGAGATGATGCACCGCCGCCAGCACCGCATGATGCCACCTCGGGCTTATTCGATTCTACTAACGCACCCTTCATGAATGGTATAAATGGTCTCTTGTCACGCACTCCAGTGTCACATTTGCAAGACGATGAGGACCAGTCAATGAGTAGCTCTGCGCTTAACTTGTCGCAGTCCTCGGTCCTTGACATTGTCAAGGAAGGCAAACAAGTTATCGCTGCTTTTCTCCGCGAGACGCAGTGTTATGACGTAATTAAAAACAGTGGCAAAGTTGTGGTATTTGATGTTAAAATTCCTATTAACCTCGCTTTTTTTGCGCTGGTTGAGCACGGTACGATGGATGCAGTCAGCAAATGGTACATAGATTTCTCACGTGCTTTTCTGCTTTAAGACATCAAGTCTGTGCCCGTTTGGGATGCCGAGCAGGGAAAGTTTGTAGGGATGTTCACAGCAACCGATTTTGTCAACATTTTGCGGCATTTTTACATTCGTGGATCTCCAATGAATGAGTTAGCAGAACACAGCATTGCATCATGGCGAGGTAAGAGAAGCGAGTGGTAAATACGAATCGTTTATTTGCTAAATTTTAATGTCGTTGGTATCATAGCAATCCCGCGGTCTTTGTCAATGGCCCCAACACGTGAGGAAATGCTGTCTGTCACACCCGAGCACAATCTCTACGAAGTGTGTATGACACTTCGCGACAACAGGCTTCATCGACTTCCCGTAGTAGATCCGACTCAAAACTCGGTCTTGTCTGTCATCACGCACAGCGGGATTTTAGAATACCTGGTTGCTACCTTTCGTGAGCAGCGTAGATTGTTTGATCAGCCAATTTTCGACCTCGGCATTGGTGTCTACAGCGGTTTTGTGACGGTCCCTGAAGATATGCCACTCATCCGTGTACTTCACACATTGATCGAACGGAAGGTATCTGCAGTGCCAATTGTGGATCCAAGTGGTTAGTTTAGCAATGCCATCACACATTTTAAGGTGTTATACTCAAAGATATTGTCTGCGTGGAGCAGGTGTTGTTGTGAATATTTATTGTGTATCGAATGTCACCGAATTGGTGAAGGACCGGTCGATTACCCAGTTGGATATGCCTGTGGGAGAAATTCTTCGAATCCAAGCCGCTGAGGTGAATTGATGAACAACCGCATTGATTCTGCGTAAGTCTGACGTGTTTTATTCTTAGGGCAATGTCGGTGAGAGCTTGCATTTGTGCTACAAGACAGACACTTTGCACATGATTTTCGAGCGGTTTGCAGCATGCAAAGCCCACCGCTTTGTTTGTGTTGACGAGTATTCGCGCTGCGTCGGTATTGTATCACTAAGTGATTTGTTTAACTATTTTCTCGACTAGCGAGCAAAAGTACAGATTTTTTCGCGTTCGCGATGGTACCCACGATGGAGAACCAGCAACAGCGTAGCAGTGAACGATACTAAACACCGTGCAGCGAACTACGAGTGTCAGATAGAAGCGTTAGAGCAAAAACAAATCAAATATTAATTAACGAAGACAAACGAGGAAGCGGAAAGAGGGCACAAATATCGACGCTTCGCTCTTGCCACATACATCGCCGGCGTCAGATGTAGTGGCCGTCACACTTGGGTATCAGTGTCGCCTCGACCGGCATAAATGATCGTGAATGCGAGGAACTTTAATGACAATGTCAACAACACTTTGCTCTCATCAACTTACGATATCCAGTTTCAAAAATACAATATTTATGCAGTAATTTAGTCTCTTTCCTGCCACGCGCACTTGATTAGCACAATGTCTCGAGGTGGCGGCGCAATTGATCCAGGTCGCACGATGGCAGCCCGATGGACGGCTCTCGACCAAGCAGCGTATATTTATTGTAAATTTTGGCCAGCAATTCATCTTTCTCGCGGCGTCTCGCGATGCTGCGCGCCTTTTCTGGGTCTGAATGACCGCCTTGACGCCAGTCTTTCTTGCGGGCTTCAGCCGCCTCGGCCGCCCGCTCTCGCTTCTCTGCGGCGGACAATACATTCCCGTTGCTCTGACCACTTCTTGCTGGATTCGGTGCTTCGACTCTTAGCGTCTGCGGATTGCCTCCATTTGTCCAACCTTCTCTTGGTTGATGCCGTAGACTTGAGTGAGTATGCGTGGGCTCTAAAACTGTTTCAAGCTGCGTTTTTGAAGACGTGCACCCCATATTTAGTACTGCCTAGCTCGTGTTTTATGCTTCGGCACTGGCTTTGTATGGATTTTTTTCCTTGGGCTCGTAAAAAAATAACGTTTAAGTACGATATTTAAACAACTGCGATGGCGAATAATGTGTCCCTAACTGCAAGGCAACGATAAATACTGAAGGTGAATGCAGCAACAGCGTATGCAATAGGTTTGCCGTGCATCTTACGCAAGAAAAGCTTTGACTCAAAGAGTCCGCGTCAACGAACGCACAGAGGTTGAATTCGCAGTCTCCACCCAAGAACGAAAATGAAAGCATCTTCAACAATTCAAAACTTTGTGTTTTATTTCAAGAGGAACATAGCTTTGGAATTAATTCCAGCTAAACCTATGATAAATATGTACGTTTTGCTGGATTCAGAAATAAATCATCTGTAATGCTTGATGTGAGGCTACAGCTCATATATACCACGTTACAAAGTCTTATTATCCTCATAACTTAACGAGCTTCAAGAAGTTAACAATTATACAAACATGCGATGTGAATTTCGTCAAATTGTGAATTATCGTATTTTGCACAATCGTGCAAAGAGTAAGGTGTATGTACTATTGTGCTGCATGAACTCCTTTACACCATTCCACATAAGTGAGACACAATGGGTTTGATACTTCTTTTGTTTATGAGACATTACGCAAAAGCGCTTAATGACACAAAATGCCTCTCTTTACTTGCACCTTATGGCACCTGCTTTTCCAAACTCGATCACAACACTCTCCCGTTACCATTGTACTTGACTCGGCGAGTTTGAAAAAAGACGCTGTTTTTGCGACCATCGCCCTTGAAGCTACACTAGGTGAGGCCAAAGTGTTATGTCTCGTCTCGACACCCCCACCATCACCTGGTAGATGCGGCCGAGCCTTTTTACCGGGAGGAGGTACCCCAATCCTTTCGGCACGACAAAAGAACCCCAAACTGATTTCATACGGCAGGTGTTGTTGTCAACATCCAGCCACGACCAGTTCCGACGATGTCCAGCTCGTTGGTGGCGAGCTGGCCCTAGCTAAGTGATCACAACTTGCCGCAAACTCATGTCAATTTTATCACGTCGTTACTGAGATGTCGAAACATCGGAGGTTGCTGGAAGGCTGATTCAGATCAATTACATATATACGCGTTCGAAACTTTCACTTACATTTAAAGCAAGACGCGCGCCAGAAAGTCGCGAGCGTTTTCTGACCTTAAAGATCATAGCTCATCGGAAGTGCCGCCTGCAGTTAGAGCATCAGCGGACTACTTAATCCGTAACCCTCCATCAGGAAGGTACCTATAATACCGAAAGCGGACGTGAGTACCGAAGGGCAACGTAGTCAATAGATCGAGAAAACGCATCGTTCTACCCGTCTCAAAGTTTTAAGCCAGTTTAGTGAAGCAAACGTCTCGTCGTTTCATACTTGACTTGCAAAGTACAAAGCAGAACGTGGACGTTGAGGTACAGCCCATCGCAACAAGTTCATATCCGATAACAGCCTGACTTGTCTCCGTTAGAGCTAGCAACCAAGTGTGAGTCCTACAACACGATCGCTCTCCATTCGCTAGTGGAAAGCGCGCTGCAACGAGCACCACCTATCCTGGAGAGATTAAAGTAAAGGTTGCGCCGGGTTGAAGTGGAAGCCGCGCTAAGGCATTTTGCCAAAGTGGAGCTCAAACTCTCATTAGATATCGGAGTGAAGGTATCCCTTTCACTGTACTAGATACTGGTAGCAGCGCTAGCGCATCCTCCGCACCACTAAGCGCCACCAATGAAAATGATCCCCCTCTCGCTAATCGATCAGTACTGGGGAAGGACGACCTTTTTGCGACTGGCGCTCGTGGGTAATCTCAATTGTAGCGAGACGCCGACTCCCTACGAGGGTCTCGGGCTACGTCCAAAATAAACAAGGTCCAACTTCAATGCGAACTCGGAGCTACGCCATCAATCTGTGCGGCACGAGGCATTCACAGCGGTACAGAATCGTGTTGATACTGTAAAGCAAGCGCTTCTTGGCAAAAACCCGTCGTGATCCAGTTGTGCGATTGTTCTTTTCTCTTGGTTTTGATATTCTTGTCAAACTTTTATTATGGGAGTGAAGCCCAGCCCGATAGCTTTGCGCTTCTTCACCACCCTCACTGACCATTGTTTGAGTATTCGTAATCGGCAAGTCCGTATCATCCTCACCACGCGATATAAACAAAAAACAGAAATGGCAATGGATTTGTCTGCTTCAATCCTAGCCCATTTTGGTGTCAGCGACTCACCACTTCCTCCTGTTGCCTCTTTATCATCTGAGATGTTCCATAGCGGCATGTCTTTGTCTTGTTTGCCCCACTTCAGGCCAAAACGCAAAACGATCTCATTGTCGCGTATGAAGAGATGGAAGAAACTCTACTATTACAGCCTGTTTTGAACAGACCGCTGGAAAGGCATCAGCTGCTATATGCTGACAATTGGTGTACGATCAATATCGACCATTCCAACGCCTCCGACTAGCCCCCCGACATTTTCCATAGGCTCACTATCAGCTTGTTGTCGATCCACTTGATTTTGAACATAGCCATCGCCAATGTCTTTTATATCTCTGAAGGTGTAGCGCATGCTTGTCGTAAAGGTCGCTTTTTTCACGCTCATATAAACTCAGTAAGCGAGTCACTTCAACATTGTTGTTCTCCATATAACTCACGTGACAACCTTGGCATTTTTTGCATAACCGAGAACCATACATTTGACGCTTTTAGATTCAAGCTTTGAACTCGTTGCATCGTCAACATGAGAATACGTAAGTGATCCAGTTTGAGGTATCATCTTAGGAGCCAGCTTCACGGGCGCGTAAGTGATCCAATTTGAGGTATCATCTTAGGAGCCAACTTCAAAATGAGTTGTATTCGTCGAGCGATTGATCATATAAAACTGCTGCACTCACCGCTTTCGCCCGTTATTTAGTCAAACTTGCAGCAAAGCCAACTGCGCTTTTTCCCATGATAGCCCTGTTCATGCGTTCGCCACTACATTATACTTGGTTCTATGGAGCGAAACGTTGGTGAACGACACCGTTCCGACGGCGTAGGTCTACCACCGTTCTGTCCACGGAAATTCGGCTTCATGATTGAATTCCAAGCATTTGGGACGAAGACCCTAACAATTTTGCAATGGGTCTAATATATTTTGAGCATCCCGGCTCCTTCAATTTTGCTCATGATAAAAAAAGCACAACATTTTCTTACAAGTTATGTTGCGTTTTCTTTTTCATCCACAAGAGTGAGTAAATGGATTTTGCAACTCCCTTCGAGAGTGCCCGCATTAGACCGCGCACGCGCTCCAGAACGAAGTCATCTTTGTCATCGGATGTGAGGGAAATGCCGTGACTTTCCGATTACCTTACATACACCTGCCACACAATGCTTCTGTGTCTTGATCATTGGTGTGCCTTCGGTGGAGCGCTGTGCTTTGCGTAAAGCAATTTAATTCGGGTGTTTTATGTGAACATACCAATGCTCCCACTGAGTGTCATCCCTGAAGTACTCCACGAAACATGCTTTTTCCTGCTCCCAGTCTAGCATGTAAGCCTTACCGATTTTGAAATCTAACGGATTTTTACGAATAGTGATCGGTCTTCTAATTATTAATAGCATCAAGAAATCGATCACTTTTGACAGGAGGTCTACAATTCGTAGAGGGCTATATAA